TTCGGCCTCATCAGTCACAGGCGGTGACGATGCCATGTAGTGCAAAGTATCATCTCCAGAACACCTCCGTGCTTCTACAGGGGTTTGTGGCCGCACTGGTACTCCCACAAGCTTTCTACTTGGTTTGGTAGGAGTTGACGGTGTTTGAGCGACTCTTGCCGGTAGTGTTGGCTTCTTGATGGGCTCTCGGAGATCTTGGCAGGCCTTTGAAGACCCAGAAGTCCTCCGATCAAGGTGTGTCGTGACGAAGGGATGGATGACGGAGGTTTCGATGGTTTTGCAAGCGGATGAGACTTCGCGTGTTGTTTTGCACCGGTCACAGTCGACTTCGTGCCCTTGTTCGGCTCTTTACGGGATCTCTTTCTCGAGTTGTCATCGGCCATGGGGTCTGGTGTTGCTTTGCGTTTGGGATTCGTCCTCTTTTTCGGTCTCGTCTGACTTGGTATAAAATCTTCATCGTCGTCTGCTTCATTCTTGTCATGCGATGTGCGGGCCTTAGTCTTAGACTTGGCTGGTTCCTTGTCCGAGGCAGCCTTTGAGCTTCGGGATTCTCTTTGGGGAGATGAAGCAACACTCGATGTGTTCGAAGAAGTAGTGTGGACATCCCTCTTGCTTTCTATAAGCACATCGAGAGCTTCGTCTTCCGGGTTGAACTTTCTGAAGACATCTTGTTTGGTGGCCTGAGATACACGGGGTAGCTTTCCCTTGCCGTACATGCGTTTCGATGTCGACGACGGATGCTGTGACTGGAATTGCAGAGCAGTCGCATCGCTACTGTCTGCGGTAAGTTTCTTGGAAGTGACGCGCTTTGTCCGAAGCGTCTGGGAGCCACTTCGAAGCGATTTTCTTGCGTTTGACTGTCGGATCGAAGGCGAGCTCGCATCGAGGGGCAAGCTTCGAGATACTCTCAAACGAGGCTCACGTCCTTTCTCATGGGCTTTGATGCAACTCTCCCACTCTAATGCGTCGCCCGAATGCTTGAACATCAGCGATAGGTCAGTCGCAATGCGTTGCGTGGAATTAAGACGGTAGCTCCAGGGTTCAGATGTGAGTGTCATGACGAGATCCCACGGTTCATGCTTTGTACGCTGAGCCTGTGAGCTGTGTAGTTTCGACGGTTCTGATCGCGTGTTCAAAATGTGCTCGACTGGTATGTCTATAAACCGGCAATCTTTCAGGTGCTCGTCGGGCGCGATGATGGTCAGCACTCCAGCCTCGACGAGCGCGATAGGAAACGTAGCGCTTGACTCCCGCCATTTGAACCCATCTGTGGCGAATAGTGAGACTAGGTACATGACAGAGGGCTCGCCGGTTGGTCTCGCGAGTGCCAGGTCGCTCAGAATGTCAAGAAAGCCCTGGAACTTCTGCATCCATTCCGCATCGGCCTCGAGTGGAAAATTCGGCGCGCTGTGTCTGACTTTTTCCGTGGACCAGAACCGGCTATACTCGATCCCTTGCTCCAGTGCTTGCCGTATGATAATACCAGCAATAATTTTGATCTGTTCTTGCTCAGTGCCGCTTAGGATGATAGCTCCCAGACTCCGTAGACGCTTAGTCGATGCCCCGATGTGTGTGGCCACCGCCGGCATTTCCAGCATGCCTGCGAGCGCGATGCCGATCCATCGCCGCCGGATAATAGAAAGACCAGGATCGCAGAAACTACTCAGATAGTCCTGCGCGACTGAAGAAAGACCAGAGCTGCTGAAGTCGCGTGCAGAGACAAGTTTGTAGAGATGTATATTGGACGCGTCTTTGTCGGGCAGCTTGAGAGCAGCTTCAAACGAGATTGAAGTCATTGCGACAAAGGAAAGTAGAAGAGAATGAAATTGGCATTTTTTTGCCCTACACGAGCAGGATAGTGGAGTGTCGTTGGAGATGTGGACGCGGGCAATGCAACTAAGGAAGTGAGAGCGCGGTACTGCTAGAATGGAAGTCGCGTCCCATCGGCGTTTGACGTCACAGCTGCAGGCGCGCGCGAGTTTCGCGTGGCGGGCTTGAAACCACGAACACCAACCAACCGTCATTACCTGCACTCTGCGTTCAAAAGAAAGCGCTGCGACTAAAGAAAACCGCTTAGGACGACTAAAGGGGGTATAAGAAAATAGGGGGGTTCCCAGCTTTCGCGGCCACTTGTCACGGCTTTCAGTGGCTGTGAGCCGCATCGATGCCTGCATGCATGCGGTTGTATATTCCCAACATTACTATACTCACCTAGTACCAGTTCCCATGCTTTTCAGTTGGGCATACAGTTGTGAGATGGAAAGCGATGCAGAGATCATTGAAGGTGCCGTATTGAAGGGGAAAGATTCCGGAAGAACGGCTCCCTCTCCAAGTGTCCCCTCCAAGCGAACGCGCTTTGGACACGCAAGGGCCGCAGCATAGGAACAGAGCGCCCTACTTGTCAAAAGCATGCAGACCTCCTGCAGTCTGGCGTGTCGCGATACAGCAGCTTTCGAGCCTGCAGTTCTTACCCCTCTGCAGCCTAAAAGCGTGGGTCCCATTGGGACGGATGCAGCCTTCTACAGCTGGCCTCAATCCGTGCGAGCCCTGTATCTGCTGCAGGGGCTTCATCCCTCGCACATGTGATTACGCCCCGAACGTGGCTGGTGATTTGTAGTAAGACGGAGGACGGACAAGTGTCTCGACCTCGACAACATCATGGTTGATGACAACAGTAACCGGGCTACGGGCGAGATCACACCCTCCACTGTGCCAATCGTATCGAGCATCAGCTCAAATCGATTACACGTCATTATCGCTGGACTATGGCTTTGTCTTTTTTTATCTGCCTTAGACACTACCATCGTCACGACCGCGCTCATCAAAATTTCAAGCGATTTTGGTGCTCTGGAGCAGGCAGCGTGGCTGATTACCGCGTATCTACTCACATATAATTGTAAGACTCATTCGCTCAGGAGTCTTGTCACTAGATTAATGGCGCAGCGTTCTTGATGATCACAGCAAAGCTGAGCGACATTTGGGGCCTCAGGAGTCTCCTTTTACTTTGCGCGTCAATCTTCCTGGTATTCTCCATGGCTTGTGGTGGAGCACAGACAATGACTCAACTAATCGTGTTCCGCGCTTTCCAAGGCATTGGAGGGTCTGGTCTCTACAGCTTGACATTCGTCACCATCATGAAGATGATTGTACCTGAGAGGATTGGTTTCTACTCTGGCATCGTAAGCTCAGTATTTGCTTTGGCAAACCTGTTGGGCCTTAGGGGGGGGGGTGGTGGAGAAGGGGGACGGAGTGGGTCACTTGATGTAATTGGGGAGGTGGTGTCATCGCTGATCGAACAACTTGGAGATGGATATTCTTCATGAAGTATGCAAAACGCGGACTATCGAGCTGTGCGAGCTGACTGGAATTAGTGGCCCCATTATCGGTGTCGCAATGGCAATATTGTTCTTCTCGATGCCTGCATTCGACGACGGTAGGACGAATCTGCAACGCATACGCCATTTGGACATATATGGTGGCATCTTGTCTGTCTGCTGGCCTATACCTCTCATCTACGCCCTTCAGGAAGCCGGTGTGTCGCGTTCCTGGGGCAGTGGTGTTATCGTCGGACCACTGGTAGCTGGGATCGCTCTCCTGGTACTCTTTGGGTTGTATGAGTTTTGGATATCGTCCAAGAAACAGAAAGCTTCCATCTTTCCTGTGCAATTTCTTCGGAATGCACCCATGGCGTTGACTTTGTTGTAAGTCTGGAATACTCTGGTTGAGCTCCACTGATGACAAGACAGAAGCCAGTTCCTCTTAGGATTCGCCTTCTACGTTGTCTTCGTTCAGCTGCCACAACGCTTTCAGGGAGTAAACTTTACAAGCGCGGAGCGTGCCGGGATTCTTCTGCTTCCTGCTACCGTTGTGACTCCAATCGGTGCCATGGCGTCTGGACTAGCAGCGAAGAAAGCACCAGTTGAGATTGTTTTGATCTGCTCGATCGCGATCGTATGCGTCGGTATCGGACTTCTTAGTAGTTTGCCGACGTATTCCCACCTATGGCCTGGACTGTATGGTTATGAAATTGTTACTGGCCTTGCTTTGGGTCTTGCAAGTCCGCCATACTTCGTGCTCGTCGCTACTTCGATTCCAGAAAAGGACATCGCTGTCGGTACTGGAGCACTCAACATGGTGCGGACGCTTGGAGGATGTGTCGCCGTCGCCATCTGTTCTGCAATCCACCGCGAGCATTTGAACACAGGGTTGTCCGATTTTTTGAGTCGCGGGGAAATCAGGGAGATGCAAAGTTTGACGTCGTTGACTGCACACTTACCGGACGCTGTGAGGGATCGTGTTGGTGTTGTGTTTGGTAAAAGTTGTAAGTCTCAATTCCATAGACGTAGGAATACAGGACGTACATGCTGATTAGTACCACCGTATCAGACAACAGGCAGTTCCAAGTCATGCTGGCGTTTACAGGACTCAATATCATCGTCGCGGTCATTTTAGCCATCGTTCGAAAGAGATCCGGTTTGTTCGGCCTAATACCTGAAAGGAAAGAAGGAAACGAGTATACAGAGGCTAAATCGACCAGAGCGGGCCTGCATCGAGTGGAGCACTGGCTCAAGATACTTGTGAGAAACAGGCTCCTGAAATCGCGGCTACACACAGACCGGATGATAACGCGGGCGCGTGCCTTGGAAAACAATGATGAACAAATTTACGGTATTATCCACATGTTTGGTCACGAGACGCTGTGTGGATACTATCATGGTGGCTCCATGCTGAAGCATTTAGCGATCTCGGCACTACCGCAGTAGGGAAGTCCGGCAGGAAGCACCGAATGGACAGGTATCGAAACCTGCTCTAGCGCATCAGTCAGCGCTTCTCTTTCATAGGATGTGATGGCCTACGCTTGCGGAAGGATTAAGAAGCTGTACATTTGTCGACTTACCAAGGTGCAGTCCCGAGAAGTGCTTAAGTTCGCACAGTTATATCCGTATTGCTAGCAGAAAAGCATTTGGTGATGTCTAAGCAAGCAAACGTCACAAGCGCAGGCTTGTGTGGAAGCTTAGCCGTCCCCGCATCTTGACCCCCGCACACGTTGCAACGCCCTTCACGCTTGAATGCTCGGCATGCAACGCATCAATGCTCGGCATCAAAAATGCTGCGCCGTTGAGATCTGGAACAAACGTGCACATCGTCTCGTTCAAAGGATGAGGCGGCATCAAATACGTTCTGTCGACGCTGTATCGTATCTTCTAGACGGCCACTAGCGGGGGATGTGAATAGTGGGCCACATGCGACACGAGCCTCTTCATCACAACCACAGCTCATTACCGCTTTGAATATGAACAGATCCGAGGACTCAAGAAAGTGCTGAGAATATTGAAACTAAGCTTCGGCATCATCGTACAGTCAGTCAGATCCTCATACGAACGCCACTTCGCTCTTACTTCTGAGTCCTAACTCTCCGCGGGAGAAGTTTCTATGGTGGTGAAGCCAGGGATCGGCAAGCGCTAGGAGGTGGATGGTGGGGATTGGATCCTGGAGGAAAGCACACCAGTCCCTACCGTCATCGGAATAAGATCCTCATGAGTGGACTAGATGATAGGCGGCTCAATAGCCTCGGGCTGATGATACCCCAGCCGCTTTCTCCAGTGAGTGTCGACAATCGGTGACGTTCTTAAGGGACAGCGTCTCGCTCGCTGATCGAGGGGTAATTCCGGACAAGCAAGTTCCCAGTTCCATGGTTGAGAATACTGACTTGTGATACTTCGGACCGCGATTGTTGCTTGACGTTTCTGTGCGAACCCTTTTCTGCGCTCTGGGCTCTGGAATTCACTAAGAGGCTTCTTTGTGGCTTGACATCTCGCCAGCTACTAGCTCACGCCCTGTATCTACGTCGACAATATGGCCTCTGGAGTAGAGCGACCAATCGATAGATCGAGTGAGGAAGAAAGACTATCGGCGAGGAGCATGTTGAAACGGCAAAACATGTACACACAATCGAGAACCTACCTGATCCCGACGCTGGACTCAGCGAAGAGGAACGCGCTGCGCATGTAAGCTACATCTCAGCTCCTTACCATACACATACTAACACCCCACCCCACAGGACAAAGCCCTCCTCCGCAAACTCGACTTCCGACTAATCCCCTGGCTCTCCTTCCTCTACTTGATCTCTTTCCTAGACCGCACGAACATTGGCAATGCGAAAGTCGATGGCTTGCAAGAAGATCTCAACATGACTGACGGCCAGTACAATGCCAGTCTAACCATCTTCTTCGTCAGCTACTCCGTCTTTGAGCCGCTGACCAATGTGCTGTTGAAGAAGTTACGCCCGAGTATCTTCTTACCACTTATCATGATCTGGTGGGGGATTTGTATGACGTGTATGGGGTTGGTGCATAATTATGCTGGTCTTATGACTGCGGTGAGTCTTTTGCGGTTGGTGACGTGGTAGCAAGGCTTATCTGGCTGACGATGTGTAGCGGTGGTGGCTGGGATGTGCTGAGGCAGGACTATTCCCTGGAGTAAACTACTACCTGAGTTGCTGGTACAGGCGTTCCGAGTTCGGCATCCGAGCTGCGATCTTCTCTCAGCTGCCGCTCTAGCTGGTAGTTTTGGTGGCCTACTCGCCGCTGGAATTGCGCAGATGGGAGGCGTAGGCGGAAAGCCAGGCTGGGCGTGGATCTTTGTAAGTGCACCTCCAACGCTTCCTCTTACCTATGACCATGTTGCTGACGGTAACCCCAGATCCTTGAAGGTCTCGCCACCATCCTCGTAGGAATAGCAAGTTACTGGATGGTCCACGACTTCCCCGCCGAAGCCACATTTCTCCTCTCCCAACGACCGTGCGCGTGTCCTCCGCCGTCCTGCGCGCCCGACAAACAAGCCTCAGCTGCGCACGAAGAGTTCCAGACCAAGTACTTTTGGCAATCCATCAAGGACTGGAAGACGCTCATGTTCAGCATCATCTACATGGGCGCAGACGGTTCGCTCTATGCCTTCAGTCTCTTCCTGCCCACCATCATTGCCGGGTTGGGCTATAAGTCTACGACAGCGAATCTGCTTTCTGTGCCACCGTATGCAGTTGCAGCTGTGGTGACGGTGGTAGTGGGTTATATTGCTGATCGCACGCAACAAAGGGGTTACTGCAACATGGGAGTCTCGCTCTTTGGTATCGTGGGCTTTGCCATGTTGCTCGGATCTGCAAGTCCGAATGTTCAGTACGCGGGTACATTCTTGGGAGCTGTGGGTATCTATCGTAAGTGAACTCATCTAGCAGCATGGATCGCTTGGTTCTAACAATTTTCCCACTAGCAACAAATAGCGAATACTATATCCTGGGCCGCCCAACAACGTCGAGGGCGTGTACAAGCGTGGCGTCACCCTTGGCTTTGTGATAGGCTGGGGCAACATCAATGGCGTCGTTTCGTCGAACATCTACCGCAGTAGGGATAAGCCGCGCTATTTCCTGGGACATGGTTGAGTTCTGGCATATCTGACGCTGTGGCTGCTTGGCGGGAGTATTGTGACCCGATTTCTGCTTGCGTGGGAGAACAAGAAAAGGAGGCAGGGAGCAAGGGACCACTGGATTGAGGGTAAGAGTGAAAAGAGATTGAGGAGATGGGGGACCAGCGGCCGGATTTCTTATATACTCTCTAAATGTAGAGTTGAGGCTTGGGTAGAATATTAGAACGGACTCTAGTCGCGTCACAATAGACATGGCACCTATCAGAACTTCTGAACGCTAGCTTGTTGAAGTAAGCTTTCAAAGTTCCGACTCAAACGCACTTGGTTGGTAGATCCGTGGCTGGATAAAGTGCAGAAATAGTATATTCGACGGCGTGGTTACTCATGGTATCTGGGAGACAATGTTGCAGCCTCGGAAAGAATCAATAAAGTGCAAGTTCGCAAGCTTTTAGCCCTGCGCCCACAAGTCGAATACATGCCGTAAGATTAACGCCGCCCAATGCATGTCGTTTTATAAATTGACCTCTCTCAGATAAAGGTCAAGTGCTCCAGCTCACGCCACCAACCTTTCGAGACTTGACGCTGTTCGCCCGTTCCTTCCTCTCGTTGCGCCGCATCCTCTCCTTCCGCTCTTTCCGATTATCCGCCCTCTGGGTCGTGAGCCTCACCGGTCTTGGCTTCCTTCTTCTCGTCAACCTCGACCAGCCAGTCGTTCTCGCCCGCCTTGTTCTTGCCCTTGTAACCCCACTTGGGTACCCAGTCGCCCGTAGCCTCGTCGTAGGCCAGCTTAGTGTCGCGCTTCTTGTTCTTGATGCCCTTCTTCGCAGCAAACTTATCCCACTTGGTGGGCTCCTTGGCTTCGGGAATAGGCTTCTCGCGGGGGAGGGGTGTTGTCGGCGCAGGGAGGACGAGGTGGACGCCCTCTGAGTTTGACTTGATTTCGCAGGTCGAGAGGAGCTGGTTGATGAGGGCTTGAGCGGCATCGCGGGCAGTGGCAGTGAGGGTTGCTTCGTCGGCGCCGGCGGGACGGGGTTGGGGTCGTTTGCGAGCAGGTTTCCCAGGTCAAAGGTGAAGGGCGTGGGCTTGTTCACAGTAATGGGTCTTTGTTGAGTAAGCAACGGTTGTAGTAGAGGACAAAGCAAGCATGCGACGTACAGTCGGCTGGAGACGGTCGAGTCTGCGACGGAAGGTGCGCCGTTGGACTTGACGTCCATGGCGCCTCCGTTGATTTCATCGGCGAGCTGGGAATGCGTGGGCGAAGTGCCACCGAGCGCGACGCCCGCCGTCCATTTCTGTGTCTGACATTTTGCGAGGGTCGAGTGGTTTTGGTAGAATTTCGCTCTGCGCGCCTGCTGCCAAAAGTTCAGAATAATTTCGAGTCCGTGCACGAGCGGCGGACTCCCGAGGCTGCGACCATCACAGAATTCGTCTCTAGCATCGCCAATTCGCCCATTGCGGAGGGCCAGAGCCTCGACCACCCGTCATGCCGCCTTCCACATGTTTCCGGAGCTTCTCGCAGCTGTCGCTTGATGCCGCCGCCCATGGATGCATTGCACCGCGCGTGCTACGCCCCCAGATAGCCTGCTTTTCCACGTCGTCCGCCCGCTATGCTGTGGTTGGACCCAAGAAGAAGGGCATGACCGCCCGCCCCCAAGAAGGGTGTCAAGTCTCTGAACACGAAGAAGGGGAGAGGAGCATCAGGAGGGTGACTCGGGCAAGCGGCCCAGCCCCAAGGCGAGCGGGAAAGCCCAACGGAAGCGCATCGTTCTGAGCAACGACAACGCACTCGAAGTATCTTCGCTGCGGGACCTCACCAAGGACAATGTCCTCAGCGAACAGAATGAGGGCAAGGTTATGGGGCTACCACAAGAGACTGTAGTGGATGCGCTTGCGAGCCGTCGAGGCATTCAAAACAACCCAGGGATGGGGTCTGTTCCGCCGACCAGCCGTGTTGATGAGAAAGGAGGCGATTGAACTCGCGAGGCCTTGTTCAAAGAGGCCGAGAGCTCCAAGAAGACAATAAGACGGATACTGTGCGGGCAAAGAATGAGCGGGAAGAGCACATTGGTACTTCAGGGTCTGACTATGGGTTTTCTACGGGGACTGGTTTGTGATCAACCTACCAGAAGGTATGGACTGTGATTTCGAGGCAGAGACAAGCCACTAACAAATCTCAGCCCAGACCCCTCGTCAACGCGCATACCGACTATGCGCCTCTTCCCAACTCAGAACCGATGCAGTAGTACACTCAAGATACATACACGGCGAATCTCCTCCAGCAAATCCTCATGTCCAACGGAGCATTCCTCGCAGCCACAAAAACTTAGCACGCAGCCTGAACTGCCTCTGCCACTTCCTGCGGGCGCTACACTGAAAGAGCTGGCGGCGCTGGTATGGCCAATCCCGAAAGCATCATGGCCCAGTGTTTGTTGCGTTATGGAATGAGCTATCTCTACCAGGCCGTCCACAATCCTGCTTGCACTCGACGGCCCTATCGCATGTTATGCGCCACTCCGAGTACATGTCTGCGGAAAGTAAAGCCTATCCACGCCCACGACCTGACTCTTGTCCGCCATTTCGTCGATCATCTTTCAGGCCAAAGGAAATTACCCAACGGCGGCGTGGGTGCTCGGCGCAACATCACGATCGAACGCCCCCACGTCGCCAGCGATGGACCACTGCATCGAAGCAGCGGTCGCCCGTCAAAAGTCTTCCGAGAAGCTACCAGAATGGAACCCCTACAAGAGCGTAGACGTGCGCGTCATGGAGGCTCTCAAGGACCTCCACAGCGGACTCCAAGGAGCTTGATATTATCAACGTTGGCGGGCTGACCAAGGAAGAGGCCAGATCAATCATGGAGTACTATGCCGAAAGCGGCATGTTGCGACACCAAGTCAACGAGGGCTTCGTAGCGGAGAAGTGGAGTTTGGCGGGTATGGGGAACATTGGCGAGCTGGAGAAGGCAAGCGTGCGGATGCGGTTGTAGTTGTATTATATGGTGGCACCAATCATAAATCAGGCATGTCAATGTTAAGTATCGTTTGGCATTGCTAGTTGTAGCGGCATGTTCAGACCAACGGACTTTCCCATGGCCCCTATCCATATGGTCATATACTTATCTGCTGATATAACGCTCTCGACACTGGCCTCCATCACATCAGCCGTCTGACATGGATGGATGAAGAACACAGGTCTGTTGGTTAGCGGGTGCTCCTGCGATGGTTAGTTGAATCCAACACATGGGATCACACTTCTCACAGTGATAGTAATGCCTCCAATGACACCAGCATTCTCTGTTTGAGCTTTGAACTGCGGCGGACCAAGTGCTCGTACAACGTAGTCATTGTCGGCGGATACCGGTGCTGAGGGTCACGAATGCTGATGTACAAGACGGGCATGCGATTAGACATCCGATAGGACAATGTCGTAGTCTACAACTGGCTGGGGTGCTACGGCATCGCGAGAGAGCTTCCTACCTGAACTGAGCTCGTATCGGCAGATCAGGGCCCTGGCATCACCCACCTCGTCGTCGTCCACTACTTCATTCTCTTCAATAGCGTCCCGATCATGCACCGCAGGTCGATCTGCATGGAGCGGCAGATGGGTGGTAATGTTGAGATATACGGACCCATTTCGGTTGCCTCTTCTCCACGGAAGCCAACTCGTGCTGCGCGCTACCTCTCAGCTGAAAGCATCGCTGCAGCGCATCGCAGGCCTGCTCAAACTCAATTGCGTCGAGGTGAGGAAAACCTGGAAGCATGCTTTTGCGTGAATTTGTTCGGGCCTGAGTAATGCAAATGAGGAAGCTGTCATAGGGTGACTCGGATACAGTTCCATGGGTGGCAGTAGTTGACGCAGGTTGCAGGTTGACAAAGTGGGCAGCGTATAGGTGTAGCCGGTACGTCGTTCCGGACCACTCAACAGGGCGGCAGGCTCGCCAACGCGCAAATCGGCAGGGGTGGGACGCGACTTCCCCGGCTCCAGGGCTTGGCTGCCTGCACAAATCGTTAAAGTCTCGAGGGCGTGCGGACGTTCAATCTCAGTACAGCTTAGCGGCCCAGACTCTCCCGCCCTTACTACTCGTTTCCATCATTCGCAACACTATGCTGCCTATCTAGACACAGTCATACACGCGCCAGCATTGACCCCGTCTCCGTCGCCATCTCCGTCTCGACTCCACTACTTCGCCCCTTGCTTGTCAGGATGCCGGCCCAGACTGAGAAAAGCAGCTCAAGCGAAACCGCGGATGTAGCCGTTATGCTGCCCAAGTATGTGACTGGGAGCGGGCGCTGACGCTTCAATTGCTGTAGTACTCGCAGGGCGAAGAGGCCGAACCAAAGCGCACTCGCCACTCGCGCCTGTCGCCGCCTCCCAACGGCCGTCTTAAGCAGGGACCGTTGCCTTCGCCTGTAACCCACAAGGAATCCACCGGAGACGCTTCGGAAGGCTACAAAGAAGGTACACAGAGTCCCCCGCCTAGCAAGCCAAGCCAGGCACGCGGTGGTCTCTCGTCGCCCCCATCCGACACCCAGCCCTTCTCCCAGTTTGTCTACCCGCCCGACAGCCGGACGTACGCCGTAGAAGATGAAGAGGAAGAGGAAGTCTGGGGCTACCTGGTGCCTATGGATGGCCGGGACAAAGACGTGCTAGTATTGCGCCGGCGACAAGCCTGTCCGGTCCCTCAGGCACTCGTTGGCCAGACCGAAGGAACAGAGCGGGTAAGCAAAGAAGAGTACAAAAAGCAGGAGGACAAATACGAGCAGGAGAAGCAGGAGCACGGTGTACCAGCAGGTGGCTACCTCATCGGTCGCCACAGAGAG